CTTCACTCTTGTGGCTAAATCCCCACATTTCCTTCATATATTTGAAGTTGAGCCCAATCTCCATCCCTTGTTTCAAAACCACATTGCAAGTAGCCACTAATGGAGTTCAGGACACACTGTCCCAAAGCATGACACCTTGGCATACTGAGTGTATTAAGCTGAATGAATGTGAGAAGCCTCAGGTACATGGAGGACTCTGATCTTCCCGTGAAGGAAGTCATGAGACCCCAGAACAGGTACCCTCCCTATATGCGGAAAGAGGGGCATCCTCGTCGCTGCAGATAGAGTGACACAGAGTGAACTGGCCTCCTTAGCTTCCTCTAGCTTGTTGTCCTTTTCCCATGACTTTCTACACTTCCACTCTAGCCTAAAACCCTGAGGTCTAACCATTTTTTTTTTTGTTTTCATTTCCTTACAAAGGCTCCTATGTCACATAAAACTTAAATGAAGTAAATTTATATGATTTTCTATTTTTTTTTTTTTTTTTTTTTGGTTTTTCTCTGGTACCGGGAACAGAACTCATGACCTTGCGCTTGCCAGGCAGGCGCTTTTGCCACTGAGCTAAATCCCCAGCCCCTATGATTTTCTATTCTTAATCTGTCTTTTGTTATATAGACTCCTGACTAAGGTAGAAGGAAAAAGATTTTCCCTGCTAACACTTTTCTGAACAGTCTTCCTTACCACCTTTAATGTTATGAACAATTTTTCTTCACCAATAACATACTGAGGGGATTAGGTCATCCTTGGTGCACAGGCCAAGGGGAGCCAGTAGGGTTCTTAAGCAGGGGTGTTTCATGTTCAAGTCTGTATGCTAGCATGTGAGCTCTGTCAGCAGCATGACAAATGCCTGCGCAGGGAGGGCTTGGTTTCATGGGGACCAGCTGCAAGAAATCCAAGGACAGCAACAAACAAATTAGCTGTTTTTGATCCTGTGAAAAATTTGTTTCCTTATTCACCTCAAGAACAACAAAACACCTCAGAAAATGGTGAAGCATCTTTGTAATGTAAATTATTTCTCTTCTCAAAAGTAAATTATTTCTGTTAAAACGACATCTCTGACTTATAAAGCCTGTACACTACATGTATATATGGTCAAAACTAAGGCCCTGTGGTTGATGTCCCAAGAGAGAACAATAAAAAATCCTGCGTGTGACGTCTGTCATAGGTATTTCAGGGTGCAGGCTAGGTATCAGAGTGTTTGAAGATGACTGTCTATAGGTTTATGTTACCTGCTTAACATTTCATGGCTAGAGCCTAGATTATTGCTTTTAAAAATATCTCCTCAAATGTAGACCCAAAACATAACTTAACATAAATGGAATGAATCTGACTTATCGGAAATGACTTACAGCATTAGGTTTTAGATGTGACAGGCTTCAACACAGGTGACAGGGTTTGTCCACTTCCCAGAGCCCCCTACCTTCCTCTATCCTTTTTTCCATGACTTTCCACACTTCAAGTCTAGTCTAAAATACTGAAGTCTAACCTTTTTTTTTTTTGAGATTTCATTTCCTTACAAAGGCTCCTATGTCATATAAAACTTAAATGAAGTAAATTTCTTTACTTAAGATTCAACACAGGGGCTGGCGATATAGCTCAGTGGCCCAAGCGCCTGCCTGGCAAGTGTGGGGTCGTGAGTTCCATTCCCAGTACAAAAAAAAAACAAACCAAAAAAACGATTCAACACAGATTCAACCCCTCTCTTCTAAAAAGCTGAATTACCCGTCCACCTTCGAATGCAGAATTGTCTTTGTTCACGGAGTGGGACAGAGCCTCGTTCACGAACAGGGAGGGGAAGCGCCCAGAGTGAAAGAGGAGAACAAGCTGGTAGAGCCGGCTGTGTCCCAGAGGGGAGATGGCCATCTCCTATGAATAAACAGTTTCACCAGAGGCCCTGCTCAGGCCATCTGCGCGGTGTTTGCTTTGGACCGCGCGGGCCAAGAGGGCTCAGGGTTAGTCTGTCCCCAGAGACGGTGAGAGCGACCCGAGCGAATCCCCACCCAGCGCGCTGCCTGCGGCGGGTCTCCTGGGCCCTGCCATTTCCGGGACCGCCGAAAACCTTTCTCGCGGGCGGACACACTGCCGCCCTCCAGCTCCTGTAGAACAAAAAGTCAGCCCGGCGCCCGCGGCTGCCGAGCTTGTGCGCGGGGAGGCACCAGGCTCAGTGATTGGAACCACATGTGCCGGAGGCGTCAGCGGGGCGACCCCGACACTCGGACAGTCGGGATCGGCTGCCGCCGCCGCGGCGTTTCATGTTCCTTTGTCCCTGGGGCTTACTAGGTCAGATCCGCGGAGAACCCTACACCACCAGGGTCCCGGCAGGAAGCGCGAGTTTTGTTTTGTTTTTTAATTTAATGAAAAGCATTTCCCCTACAAAAAACCAGCAGAAAATGACTAGAAGCAGAGGCCTAGGGCCTCTGCTTCGGAGCGCTCTACCAACAGCAGGAGCCCTCTGCCTTTCGCAGCTGTGGGAGAGCCCCCCCTCCCCGCAGTCCCTCCGAGGCAGCAATAAGGGTTGGAATTACTTGTGGTTGTGTGGTAAATTTATCAAATTACCTCAGTACCTCAATGAAATGAAATGAAATTTCAAACCAGTATAGATATATATACATGATCACTCTTTTTTCATTTAAAACTTCAAAAGCTTGGGGCTAGGGATGTAGTTTAGTTGTAGAAGGCTGGCTTAGCTTGCTAAAAAATTGGGAGTGGAGGCTAGAAATAATATCACCCAGAACCCTGCAGGGCCTAATGCACAACTATATTCTCTTTATTTAAAAATAAAAACAAAAAAGCACCTCAAGACCTCCCTTGACTCATTCCCTTCAAGCCTTTTCCTCTCCCCCAAGTACTTCCTGTTATTAATTTCATGAATATTCTTTTAGGTCCTTTTCTGTGTAGTTATAAGTACAGATGTGCGTATATAAATATACAACTTTATTTTACATTTAACTAAAGTCAGATTTTATTGTGTGCGTTTCTTGCAACTTACTGCCCTTTTCAGCAATTTGGAAATTTTATCCATCCTAGAATACAAAGATTCACCTCTGTGATGGAACTGATAACTGCAAAAGGGGAAAAGGCAAGACAGAGGGCTTAGCAAAAGCAGAATGTCAGCCTACGGGACCAGTCTAGCAACAGTTCCTTATATTTTGTGTAGCAGGGAGCTAAGAATGATATTTTCATTTCTGTGTTTATGTGTAAGTGTTTTTGTTTTTTGCAATCCTGGGCGTCAACCCAGGGAGCGTCTTTTTCATGGTAGGCAAACACCATACCGTGGTATCTCTGTTAGTGAATTTAATTCTTTCCACGATTCTGGTTGCAAATGAACTGATTCCTACACAGTAATGCTAGTCATTTGTCTAGGCCAAAGTCCCATGCCTGCTGTTTGGCGTTCCTGCACAGGTCTAGGGAGAGAAACATGAAGAACCAAATGGAGGGTCCTGACAACTGCTTCCTGAGCCATGCCTCTCACCTGGGGGGAGACCCTGCAGGGTTCTGGGTGATATTATTTCTAGCCTCCACTCCCAATTTTTTAGCAAGCTAAGAGCAGGATCCATGTCTTACTGGTCACAGAACTAGCACACATGGGTCTTAGTCCTACTTTTTCCCCTATAAGCCAAGTGACTATTGCTAGTAACTCTCCCAGACCCTCACTACCACCTGTGTTAAGTAGGGATAATTCCTTTTCACCTTACCCTCGATGGGATGGTGTCTGTCTCCATTTTACAGTCCAGTAGTATAGAACGGCCTGACCATCCCTGCCCCATAGGCGCTAGAGCAGTACTAGCCACCAAGCCAAAAACGGCAACTGAATACTTGTAATGTGGCCCCCTGGAACTGAGATGCACTGTAAGTATAAAACACACACTGGATTTTGAGACTCACTAAACTGGAGTTTAAGAGATCTTGTTAATAATGTTTATGTTAATTATAAATAGAAATACTATTTTAAGGTTAAATAAAATATAAATATTAATTTCACTGATTTTTCTTTTTCTGTTTTTCACATGACCACTAGAAAAATTTAAGTTGCATTGGGGCCTTATATTCTATTTCTATATTTTCTGTTGGACCCCATTAAAATGACATGAAAGGGTTAACTTATTTTCCTCAAAACTGACCATGACACTGTGATGCACTAGTTGGGAATCCCAGCCTCAGGTAATTCTCCGTAGGTCTGCACCCCTGGAAACTGAAGTGAGAGGACACCCCTTTCACTGGGCGGCCCTGACAGTGCTAGGCCATGCTGCATGAGCGGGTTTGGCTCTGCTAATGGTTTTAACGTGGTGTGTGAGCTGTGTTTTTCACCAGGTAATGCAGAATGACATCACAATCCCATCCTTAGCGAGCTCCAATGAACATGCCAGGAAATCAGTACCTACTGCATTGCCCGGCCGGTCACTTTGCATATTTCCTCTCTGTCCTTCAGATCACACCTATATCCTCCCTGGAGGTAAAGATCCACAACAGCAGAAATATCATCTGGGCCAAGTGCAGATGGATCCCAGCTACTCATTAGGGCTGGTTAGCTTCTAAGGGCCGCACAGGGCTGTGTGTACAACTCATAGGAAAAGCTTCGAGCAAACCTCTCACTATTATTTCAGTTCTAACATGAGTGCTTATAATTCTATCAAATAGCCATTCATAAAAGTTTAAAGATTTTTTTTTTTACTATTGAAACTCAGATATCCCTTGGGAGAGGTAATGGATTTAGCTATTATCTTGCATTTGTGTGTTGGAGAGGGAGTATCGCGTAGTGGTTAAAAGCAAGGGCTACCTGGCCTAGGGCAGGTGTAGCACTCACACCCTTAACCCCAGCATTGGACCATGAATGAATCACAAACTCTAGATTCAGCCACCTCTGAAAAGTCCACCCCAGCATGACTGCATGAGGCATTGGGAGGACATCTAGACACAAAACCCGTAACTTTCCTTCAGTTCTATATCTTCCATCCAATTTATTCAACACTTTTTCTAAAATGCTGTTTTTTTCTTTCTAGGTTCAACTTCAAATTCAGTATGGTGAAACAGCCCTTAAAGATCCGACTTTGGCTCTGTCCTTATCCTGTGTAACTGATTCACACCTGTGCTCTGTTCTAGGTATTGAACTGCTTCCTAGTATGCACACAACAGTTATGCTGCTGTCTTTGCACTCACTGCTTTCTTTCTCTAGAGCACCCTTTTGTCCTAGCTGTGATCCCATGGTTTACTTCTCACTGGTCTCTTAAGACTCAGAGGTCACATTGTGTGGTGAGCCTTTCTTCACTCCACAGCACTGTCTGTACACTTCCAACCAATGCTCTGTGTTATGATGTCTGCCCTACTAGACCGTCAGGTCCTGTAGGGTCCACACTGTATTCTTCTTCATTGTATCTTCAGCTCTTTATGCAGTGCTGGGAACCTAGCTGGTACTCAGGAAATAGTTGTTGAAGAAATGACTAGAAGTGCTGTGCATAGTGGTGCATGCCTCTAATCCCAGCACTAGGGAGGCTGAGACAGGAGGATTGTTGAGAGTTCGAAACCAGCCTGGGCTACAAAGTGAATCCAAGGCTAGCCTAAACTGCATAGTGAGACTCTGTCTCAAGACCAAAAAAAAAAAAAAAAAAAAAGATTAGAATCAAGATAACCTGCCTCATAGGGAAACAGTACTAAATAGTGGCAAAGGACTGATTCTGGAGCCAGATTATAAAAGTACAAATCTTGGTTCTGTGGCTTTCTGAGAGGCAAGTTTCTTAATTTTTCCATACCTTAGTATCTTAGGTACAAAAATGAAATGACACAGTAGCAAATAACCTTGTGAGTTAGTGATGAAAATTAAATAAGTATCTGTAGGACACACAGAATGGTACCTACCACTTGTTAAGTGCTACATGAATGTAACTATTATGTCTAGGGCTTTAGAGCTTTTAAGTAGCTTTTCAAGTAGGCATTTAACCCAGGTGTCTGACCTTAAAGCTTATGCTATTTTTATTCTGTGATGCTATCAAAGATTTGCATGAATGCTGCACAAGGGCATTTGGATAGAATCCGCATAGAAAAGGAAAGAGTATCAATGGTCTGTAATTCTGACAGCTTAAAGCTTATACATGCTGGCACATCACCAGGGAATTGGGGAAAATGTTTACTTCATGAATAGAACATATCCTAAATACATAGGTTCACAAAACGAGTTGGTTCCTATTCTGTTTCACATCAGCCTCATGATAGCAATACATGGTACTTAGCATATTCTGGTCATTACGAAAATATATTTACTAGCAAGATTTACCCTTTGTGGACTTCATGCCTGTGTTGTATTCCATAGGGGCCTGGCCTAGGGTGTGCCTGACATCTTGGCTTCTGGAAACATCAGCCCCATATTAGAAGAGCACATTAATGGCCAGGCAGGTGCTTGTGCTGCTGACCTATATCCCCAACCCAAAAATCTTAATAATTCTAGAGGGCATTATTATTGTTTTGTTTCACCGCTCAGCTTAGAAGAGAAAGTCTATCTGCGGCCCAGCCTCCACTCTCATTTCTCATTTCTCACTGACCCATTTCTCAAGCTCTGTTTTGCTTTTACCCAATAGGAATGTTCTAGCCCTACAAGGTGGTTCTGTTGAACATCCTCTGAGCATGTCTCCCCAGGAGCCAAGCCAGAACATCTGACACTAGTCCTTCCACCTGGAATGTTCTCTCTGTGCCCACGTCATCCCACTAGAATCTTCCTTGCCTCAGCCACATTTACTCACCTTTCTGGTTAACTCAGTTCCCACCTTTTCTGCATAGCTTTCAAAACACACTAGGTACTGGCAGTTTTCCCATTTTCTTTCTTTCTTTTTTTTTTTTCTTTTGGTCTTTTTGAGACAGGGTCTCGCTATGCAGTTCAGGCTGGCATTGAGCTCAGTTTGTAGCCCAGGCTGGTCTCAAACTCACAACGATCTTCCTGCCTCAGCCTCCTGAGTGCTGGGATTATGGGTGTGCACCACCACGCCCGGCAGTTTTCCCATTTTCTGAGTTTCCTCCCATAGCAGTTAGGTAAACATGCAGTACAGCACCCTTGTTGTTAAGATTTATGGAGCTTTTCACATATGTGATGTTACGGTTTATATCTAGATGTCGCCACAAAGCCTCATGCACTCAGAGATGAAGCTTTGGGAGGTGATTGTATTATGGATGTGTGATACTCATCAGTGGATTAGTATTCATGTGTAGCTATATCTGATACTGGGAAGTGAAGCCTGTTGGAGGAGGTGGGTCACTGGGGGCGTGGCCTGGAGGGGTGTTTCTCCCTCCCCTGATCTCTCCCTGTTTCCCACCTGCCACGCCATGAGCTGCCCTGCTCAGCCGTCCCCTCCGTCATGCTGCCCTGCCTTGGAGCCAGGTGACTACAGACTGAAACCTCTGCCAAGTGAGAGCCAACTAACCCTTTCCTCCTTTAACTTTTGGATGTTGTGTCTCAGTGACAAGAAAGTAACTAAGACTTAAATTGTTTTTCTCCTCCAAACTGGGTGTTCCTTGTTTGGAGCTGAACTGTGCCTCCCAAAGTTCATACGGTGAAGTCTTCAAAATGTGACTGTATTTGAAGACAAGGTGTTTTGTTCTGTTTTCTGTGAGGCAGGGTCTTGTTTTATAGTTCAGGCTAGCCTTGAACTCACTATGTAGCCCAGTCTGGCTTCGAATTCCACCTTAACCAACTTCAGATCAGATTTTTAAAAAAGTAATAAAGTTAAAATAAGGTGGACCCTAACCTAGTATGATTGGTGTCCTTATAGAGAGGAAATTGGGACATAAAAAGGTACAGAAGGAAGACCATGCTGATGACATAGGGGAAAGACAGCCATTTATGGGGCTGGGGATTTAGCTCAGCGGCGCAGTGCCTGCCTGGCAAGCGCGAGGTCGTGAGTTTGATTTCTTGTACCAGAAACCCTCCCCCAACAAAAAAAAAAGAAAGACAGCCATTTATAAGCTAAGAGACAGGCCTCACAAGAAATCAATCTTCCCAACACTTTGATCTCAGACTTCTAGCTTCCAAACTGTGAGAAAATAACTTTTTGTTAAGTCACCCCTGAGTGGTACTTTATTATGGTAGTCTGAGCAAACCAAAATACCCCTAATGGCAACTACTTCTGACTTGTTTCAAAGTTCATTAGGAAAATACTTACTGTGTTATAGCAGCACAATTTGTTATAGCTAAATCTTGGAAACAACCCAGATGCCCATCCACTGAGGAATGGATAAAAAAGATGTGGTATTTTTATACAACGGAGTATTACTCAGCTATACAAAAAAATAAACTCAAGGCTTTTGTAGGTAAATGGGTGCAACTAGAGACCATACTCATAAGTGAAATAAATTGGACCCACATGTGTAAACGTCATATTGTCTCCTTGGTGTAGGAACCTGAAAGACTAGGAAAAACTCAAAATGTACAATAGATGATAGGAAAGGGAAAGAAATTGCTCAAAGGAAGGAATGACTGGGATGAGGGAAAGAAGAAAAAAGAAAGAAGGAAGGCAAAATATATATATGAATAGCTGTGATAACTGTATTGCTGATGTCTGATGGTGTATTGAAAGGAACAGTTAATGCTTAAAATTTTTTATGCTCTAATCAATTTTTCATGCTTACGTCTGGTAATCTGAACAACTGATTTGAAGGTAACAATATCCAACGGAATTATCATGGTGAATTCCTACCATCTTGTCTAGTGAAACTCTGTATTATCTCTAATGTTTTATCTAATAATTGTTTTCTTATTCTCTTAGGTTTGAGCAATCTTCCATTCTTACATCTGGTAATCTGAGCAACATATTTGAGGACAGCGATATGTAATATAACAACCACTGTTAATTTGTATTATTTTGTTTTGAAACCCTGTATCACTTTAAATGTTCTTGCTTTGATTTGTTTATGTTTGTGATACTGGTGTGCTGCTACTGTTCTATTTTTTGTTTCTCACTTACTACTCTCTTTAAAATAAAAAAAAGGAAAATACTTACTGTGCACCTTGTCATTTCTTCTTTTAACCTGCACATTCCCCCTGCACCTCTTCATGTTGTGTATCATACATGCCCCAGTCATACCCAATAGCGCCTAGTAAAGGACCTGGAGCATGGAGTTTGTGTAAGAAGCGCCTAGCAGGGAAGCATGTTGAGAAAGTATTTCCGCCAGTGGGCCCGTGTAGATTGGCCTCAAGGGAAGCTCACTAAAGAGATTTGCTGTTTTCCTCTACAGACCAAAATCTCTTGCCATGAAACAAGACTGGCTGAGAGAGCGTGGTGCAGTGACATTAAGTGTAATTGACATTAGAGCATTGCTCTGGACTGCTGTCAATGAGGCTCCCGAGCTTTCAGGGCTCGAGCGGCAGCGAGCTCTGACATTCAAGCTTGCCAGTCGTGTGGAACACTGAACTCTCCTCTCCCGGCCAGTTGGCCTCCAGGGCTTGTGCAAATAAGAGTTTCAGATCTTTTCTCTCCACTGGGGAGAGATCAACTGAAAACTTCTATTGGATTTTTTTCCTTCTGAACTTGCTTTTCTCTTCTCTCAACTCTTCTTCTTTGAATCCTTTTGCCAAGACTGCATCTGTCCCTAGAGAGTTACCTCTTTCACTGAAAAGTTTAGTCCACCTCTGAAAAACATAAAACCTTCTTTTCTTGTAAATAAATAAAGCCACAGCAGGCTGGAATATTTGAAAAGAAATTCACTATGAACTGAATTTGGGAGACCTCATAAACACACGTATAACCAGCATAAAAACATTCATGGGGTATTTGTTTTTAAACAACTGGACCCCTGAAGTTTTTCAAAGATGCTAATTCTTTCTACCTCAGCTCAAGAGATTTCTCTTTGCTTCTTGGATTTTTTTCCCTTTGGGTCCAAGGCAACAAGATTGGCTACCTGTTATAATGCTGACCTGACCAAAAATGGAGCTGATGGGTACTAGGACGAATGTGGGTCCTCATACCTCAGCTGCTGTTCCCCATGTTTCCAAACAGTCTATGCTGGGCTGTGTCCTCTCACCAACATCCACACAAATAAGCTCTTGGGTGACTTTCTTGTATCCTAGACTTCACTTCTATTAGTAAATGAGAAGCTGGTTTCTCTCTGTGACTGCAATATGGGCCAGCAAACCCGAACACAAAACTAACCCTCTATCCCAAACTCTGACTAATAGGGAAAGCGGCTTGTGGAAGAAGGTTACCTGAAGGCCGCACAGGCAATGATATCTGCTGTGGTGATTATGGGCACATATTTGTGGGTTTGGAGATCTTGTTCTTGTGTGTCAATTTTGTTTGTTTATTTTTTGTCTTTTTGAGACAGGGTCTCACTATGCAGTTCAGGCTGGCCTTGAGCTCATTTTGTAGCCTAGGCTGGTCTCGAACTGGTAACGATCCTCCTGCCTCAGCCTCCCGAGTGCTGGGATTACAGGCATGTACCACCACGCCCGGCTTTTGTGTCAGTCTTGCAAGTAGGGCTTTGAGAAGGTGGATATTTTGTCCTAGAGATTTACAGTGTGTGATGG